GCATTATTACGGGTTAAGTTGTACAGAATGCAACCTGCAGGTGCTGTTACAACACAGGCAGCGCTGACAGTCAGGTTGTGTATCCACAGCAGTGACCAGAAGAGGAATGACTGCTGGGAGGAGCACAGACAGAAGAAACTCCATGGTGCATCTGCAGCAGCACAGCCGTTCATCTGCCCCAGCTGCAACAAAACATGTCTCTCCTGTATCAGTCTCTATAGCCACAGCAGGTGCTGTCTCCTGAGACAGATGGATGTCAACATGCCGAGAGCTGTGGGGACCGCCCTAGACTTTGCGCATAGGAGTGTGCCAATCTGAACTTTTCTGGAAATTACTGTAGATCATGGCATGAGTAAAAAGATTGGCATAACTTAATATGACAGGTGGGTCGTGGGTGGTGCTGTGGTGTAAACCACTGAGCCTTGGGCTTGCCGATCGGAAGGTCGGTGGTTCAAATCCCCGTGACGGGGTGAGCTCCCGTTGCTCGGTCCCAGCTCCTGCCAACCTAGCAGTTTGAAAGCACGTCAAAGTGCAAGTAGATAAATAGGTACCGCTCTGGTGGGAAGGTAAACAGCGTTTCCGTGCGCTGCTCTGGTTTCGCCAGAAGTGGCTTAGTCATGCTGGCCACATGACCAGGAAAAACTGTCTGCAGACAAACGTCAGCTCCCTCGGCCAGTAAAGCAACATGAGCACCGCAACCCCAGAGTTGTTCGTGACTGGACTTAACTGTCAGGGGTCCTTCACCTTTACCTTTAATATGACAGGAGAGACCTTACATTATGAACTTCCTTGAACCCTGGTATCTGCTGTAAAACCAGGCCTGAGATCTGCTATCAGGGATTGTCTAGCATCTTCAAAAAGCATTCATTTCCTAGGGTGGTGAAGGCCAGGGCAAGCTGATTGTGCTTTATTTATTTAGTCAAAGCATTTGCTCCCGTTCTTCAGCCAAAAAGGTTCCCAGAGCAGCTTACGTACAATCAAAACAAGACAGTCCCTACCCGCAGGCTCACAATAAATAAATAAAAATGACACACAAGGGGAAAAGGATAATAAAAATCAAAACTCAGGCACCAGTTTCTAAACAGTTATTCCTGTAATGACCAGCTGGCACAGTTTAGGGGCAGGAAGTGCCTGATGGAGCTGGGGCTCCAGCAAAGCTAATGAAATGTACCTTCTGCTTCCTATCTCTCCCACTGAGAAGGTAGGCAGCCTGATGGAATGGCTGGCCCCAGATGTCAGTTCAGGGAAGAGCAGGCCTAATGGAGAGACATTCTTTCCCACTGGTGAAGTCAAAATCTCTGCATCGTTACATATAGCTGCAAACAGGCTCTGCATATTTTCGTTGAGATAACATGAATATAATATACCTGTGTTTGGGGGGATATGGAGGTTCTCCACACGCAAGAACCAACCCAGGTTTAAGTAACGAATGGCTTAGAACTCATGACTGTTCTAATGTTGGATGTTTTTCATCCTCTTGTATATGCCCCATGAGAAAGGCTGCTGTCGATAGTTAAAGAAGCGCTCTTTTTCTTACATGGTTTGAAGAGCAAAAGACATTTAAAATGCCAGTTAATTATAACTGGCATCTGGGTGAGCAGCCATAGAAATAGGATATTGCTACTCTTCTCGCCTTTTCCTATATCTGCACTAAGAGATCTTATGCAAACAAGCTGCTTCAAATTGCCATCTTTCTTTTACGCTTTATGGTTGATTAGTCTGAGCCGTTTTGGCTGGTTTCCACTGTGCCATTCTTCATGCATTATGTTTTGACTGCGGCTTGTAGTTTTATCTTTCTGGCAATCCAATCTCGTCTCAGTCGCATCATAGTGCAGATGGACAGCATAACAAGGCCTTACACTGATTCAGACTCTTGTCCATCTAGTCTTTCCTGTTCCTGATGCTTGAAATCCTTTTACTGGAGGTGCACTCTGGGGCATGGGGGAAGTTTGAGCCTGGAACATTTCTGCATGAAATGCATGTACTCTACTACTGCTTTATAACATCTCCTTTCTATCGCATCTTAAAACAAAGTTGGTTCCAGAGGAGCTGCAGTACTGCACAGAATGGAGGGGAAATCCCAAATGATACAAACAATTCACATTACATGAAGAGAACTTGCCTAAATTAGATTAAATATAAACTTTTGCCCTTTTCTTCCCAAATTTTCCATTTAGTAATGATGGCTAGAAACTTCTTCTCTAAAGAATGGATACTTGTGATTTTACAGATTCAGCAGCATGCCAGGTTCTGTATTATTCACAGCTGGGAAAGGGGTCAGCAACCTTTTTTAGCAAGGGGCCGGTCCACCATCCCTCAGACCATGAGGTGGCCCGGATTATATTTTTTTTTGGGGGGGGGGGAATAAAAATGAACAAATTCCTATGCCCCACAAATAACCCAGAGATGCATTTTAAATAAAAGGACACATTCTACTCATGTGAAAACATGCTGATTCCTGGACTGTCAATGGGCCGGATTGAGAAGGCGATTGGGCCGGATCTGGCCCCCGGGCCTTATTTTGCCTACCCCTGCTCTAGCTCAATGCTAGAGAACATGTTGTCACACATGGAGGCTGCCATATTCAATATCTGGCTTCTCCGGTAGGGCTAGGACTCGTCTTGGACACCATGGACAGCCCCTGCCAGGCAGTTTGAAAAATACTGAGCTAGGCAGACCCAGTACAATAGTTTCCTGTGTTTCTAGATTTCTACCCCACTATCCCCATGGGCCTTGCTCTCTCCTTCTTTAGAGAAGAGCTGTAGCTCAGTGGTAGAACATTTGCCTTGCATGCAGAAAGTCCCAAGTTTCTATCCCCCGCATTTCCAGGTACCAGCCACCTAGCAGAGGGTATGGATGCTACAGATAATTCTAACTGCTAGTCAAATCTGTCTGCTTTGAGTGCCTCCCATCTGAGTAACAGCAGGGATCATCATTCCATATGGGTTACCTCTGTTAGTGTTAAGGGTCATCAAACCATGGTGGGGAATGGAGATGTTGCTTAGCAACTAGGCAGAGTGGCATGATGTTCCTGAAGGTAACATGCACTCTGACTGGCTGTGTAGTTCTGAAGGAATCTTCTCCTCTGTATGTTTGGTTGAATGGCTCCCTGATACGTACAAGGCCTTAAGTAAGAATGACAAAAAACTTTCTCCTCAAATTACAGTTTTCATTCAGTTTCAGCAGAGTGTTTTCAGGATTTTCTTTCCTCTTTGGATTCTGTCTGCTTTTTTTAAGATACTTTGCTAATTGAGGGGTGGGGCTGAAGATGCAGAACCTGAGGTAAAGTTATTCCCATCACTGTCCCAGGAATGGCTACGCCTGATCAATTGGTCTTCTATCAAAGGCATAGGAGCAGGTTCAGTAAAACAGGAAATCCTATTAATCACACCCAGGACTCCCTCTCAAAAATAAAATCTTATATATACCTAATACCCCATGTTAAAAATTGCAGGTGGAAATCTGATTGTACAGGTGTTTATTTCAGGGGAAATTGCACAAACAGTCACACACAGAGAGAAATTGGAAATATCTCCTTCCATGTACAATAGCCCATGGAATGATTGCTTTGGTTCTTACAGTGCCTCTGCTAGACAAAGGTAATTGTATCTTTGTTCAATTACCTTAGTAATTTAATGTATGCTCTCTCTTGGGATATTAAGAGGATTAATTCGCTCTTATTTGCAAAGTGCTTAAGGATCCTGTCACGGAATGCACCATGAATGCAATTAAAAGGAAAGTGTGTCTTTATAAGCAGCAAGAGAAATACGAAACATGATTGATCCTTCCCCCCCCAAGTTCTGGTCAGGCTCTTGCCTTGCTGCTATTCAACATTTCAGGGGTTTTACTTGTTCACACTAAGGCTCACCTTGTAACAAGTTTTAATTCTAAACATTTGAATACAGTATGCCCACAACTTACATGGGGATTATGTTCCAGGGATCGCGCCTAAAGCCAAGTCTCAACCCATTGGGTTCAATGGTGAGTGAGATTGCCATAAGTCATTTTTCGGGTGATGGTGGCTCCCCACCCCCTTTTTTTTGCCACACACCTAAAAAAGAATGCACAAAAATTAAATATGCATAAATTGTGGGCTTACTGTATGCACCTAAAATTGAAATCTTACACGTATTTACTCACTTATCCCATTATGTTCAATGGGTTTTACACCTCACGTAAGTTTGCTTAAAATGGTTTTTGGCCAAAATCCTAACGTCTAATCCGAAGTACAGTAAATCCTACTGAATCCAGTGGATCTTAAAGGTAAAGGTAAAGGGACCCCTGACCATTAGGTCCAGTCGTGACCGACTCTGGGGTTGCGGCGCTCATCTCGCTTTATTGGCCGAGGGAGCTGGCGTACAGCTTCCAGGTCATGTGGCCAGCATGACTAAGCTGCTTCTGGCGAACCAGAGCAGCGCACGGAAACGCCGTTTACCTTCCCGCTGGAGCGGTACCTATTTATCTACTTGCACTTTGACATGCTTTTGAACTGCTAGGCTGGCAGGAGCAGGGACCGAGCAATGGGAGGTCACTCCATCGTGGGGATTCGAACCGCCGACCTTCTGATCGGCAAGTCCTAGGCTCTGTGGTGGATCTTACTCCCGGGTAAATAAGTGGAGGCTAAGACTTGTTCGTATGAGCAAGCCCCACCGAACATAGAGTGATTTCCGAGCAAACACGCGAAGGAGTTCACTGTCAGGCTACTGAATTCAGGTTGCTCGTGAGTAAGCGCGCCCCGAACTGCTGGGCACGAGCAACCAGCGTGCCCGCCCTGCAGAGCAGGAGGTTGCGCACCAAGCAAGACTCCCGCTTGAAATGTAAAACATGAAATCGAAACCCTTCGGTCGCATTGCAAAAAGAAAGAAAGAAAGAAAGAAAGAAAGAAAGAAAGAAAGAAAGAAAGAAAGAAGCCTCCACTCAGGAGCGCTTCCATACGTGCAGCGGGAGATGGAAAGCGTCGGAATAACAAGCTGTCAGTCAGAGACGCGCCGGAATTGCGCGTGCGCGAGGCAGAGCATCAGCGAAGGAGGCCCGGACGCCCCGCAATGAAGTTTCCTTCCTTTTCGCCCCCCCCCCCCGATCCCAGAAGAGCGCGTGCGCGGCAGTTCCGGCGACGCCTGCGCGCCGGAATGTGAGGCCGTTGGCGCCTCCCTCCTTTTACGGTTATGAGCTGCCGTTGCTGCGGGTTTCCCTCCGCGAGCGATGACTGACGGGCTCGGGAAGGCGGAGTCGGGCGCCCAGGTGAGGCAGAGAATGACGCACGCGCACGCCCCCTCCCCTCGCGCTAAGGGGAGCGGGGGGAGGGTCTCTCCCATGCCTCTAGCGGGTGGGGAAGACTGACACAACCCGGCATCCTGTTTCCAGCAGGGGTCAGCTATGGACGCTGTCGGGAAGTCCTCAAGCTGGGCTCCTGCCTCTTCCCAGCCACACACACACACACACACAGTGGAACACAGTCTCTGAAGGTGAAAAATACAAAGAAAACAGAAAAAAGCTGCCAACGATATATTTTTAAAACCTTCAGGAACCTTCTCCACAGGATGGTTGATGGTGGGTTACCTTGTGGAGGTGTGCAGCTGAACTAGGCCTTGACACTTGGAAATTTTCTAACCCATCTTTCACCTCTCACACAGCGGCTTATATGAGCCCCTCACACGGTTTTTGTTTCTTACTTGTTTTTCCACCTGCATTTCAACGACACCTTCCTTTCTAAAACCGAAGGGTGGTATAAAAAGACTTTAAATAAACTGAGGATAAAGCAACAAACAAAAGTTCGTATGTGTTCACCCAGCAGCTGCCTTTGGATTGCCATGCCTCTGCTTCATAAACTGAGATGTGGGCCTGTTTCTCTTGGCCACGCTTTTCTCCTCGCCTGCGTGAGCCAGGAAGCAAGACTTCAGTTAGATGTAGTTTGCCATTATGTCTGAAAAGGAAGGCTCTGGTTAACGGCTTCCAAACAACCCTATGGGAAACCATAGTTAACTGAAGACCTGTTTCCCTGTCTGCGGCTTGTAGCAGGGAAGAGCAAAGCACCTGCCTTGCGGGCCCTGGAGTTCATATCTTGACTTATTAAGGTGATTGACAGCCATCCAAACACAGCCAGAATCTGCTACAGACTGCCTCCAACCAACCTCACAATCAGCAGCAAGCTGACCTAGTAGACTTTTCTGGGAAGTGGTTCCATAAAAGAAGGTCCTGGATATAGTATTGCCACGTTTTTCCCTATCTTTGTGTCTTATGTCATAGCAACATGACAAACAGATTTTGAGGCCAGGAAAAGCTCCACCCGCCTAATTAAGTAGTCAGGGGAAAGCATCGTAATGACAGGTGAATATGGAAAATGTGAAGCATTTGCCCTGTCAATGCCGTAATGGGCAAATTTCTGCCAGTCATTTATCTTCTACAATCGCTTCCAAGGGGTGGGAAGGAAGATGGCAGGGCCAGGTTTACAAGATGCTGAGTCAGTGACAGCACTATGCAAACCTAACTTGACACACACCCTGGTTTCAGGATGGCAGTTGTGAGCTCTGGTCCCTGGTGGCTGTACCAAAACTTGGGGAGGAGCCATGACTCAGTGGTAGAACATTTGCTTTGTATGCAGATTCAATCCTTGGCATCTCCAGGCAGGACTGTCTGCAGTCCTGGATAGCTGCTGCCAGTCATCGTAGGCAGTACAGAGCTAGACAGATCCGTAGTCTGATCTAGTGTGAGGCAGTTCCCTGTGTTTACAAATGATAAAGAGATTTGACTCCTCTTCTTTTTTACATATAGAACTCTACAATTCTATTGTTTGTAGATTTAATATATGTCTGAAGTGCATTTGCTCCATAAATGTGAAGCTGTTACTAATTTATTTAGGGTATTCCATATCCTACTTGAAAGCCCCAAGGGGTTCTCAGAGTGGCGGAGAAAAAGTTTGTACAGTACAACTGCATCCAAAAAGATTTGCACATATAATAAGAAATAACATGGCGCCAGGTTTTTTCAGACTTTTTTTGCCCTCATTCTTGGACTTCCCACTGAGGAACTCTAAGGCGAGTGGGTTGAGCTGCTAGACTTCACTGTCCACAATGAAGCCAAGTACTCCTTTGGCCATTGGCAGTTCCCAGACAACAGTTCCCAGCAAGGACCTCTGACCTCGCTCAGTCCAAGATGGAGCCAAGTCTTCCTGATAGATGCCAGCTTCAGAATACAGTAAAAGCAACCCCACTCTGAGCCTTGGAAACTGCTGTCTTCAGTACAGAGTGGCTCCTGGGGGTACAGAAATTGGCAGTCTCTGTTTTCCAAAAGTTTATATAACCATCAAATGATTATTAAGAAGAGTACTTCATTTCCGTTACATCCGAGTTCCATTTTGACCATTTGTCCATGTCTCTAGTGTGCTGTAGAGGTTAGGCGTGTTGGACTACAAAAGCCTTACTTTGGTCCGGTTGCTATCTTAGCCTAGGCCACCTCACAGGGCTGTTGTGAAAATAGAATGATGGAGGGGAGAGAGAATGCTGTGAAGTCCTTTCAGCAACAATGGGATTAAATAAAAGCTGGGGGTGTTCTTGCAGTGGAATTTGTTAGGTTCGTAAAAATTTCAAACTCTCTTTGGAATGGATAAAAAATACAGTATTTAATAGTCCATTGTAGGGATTAATATTTAATATCCTAACAGTTTGGCTTAAGACGGTTAGCACAGAGGCTGGCTTTTGTTGGCTTTTTCTTTCTGTAAAACCGTTAGCTGACTCCCCTGGGATGTTGCCCATCGTACACAGCATGATGCTAAATGGCTGCAGTTGTTTTGCTTTAAAACCTAGAAAGTAAACATACATCAGAAGCACAGGTGCATTAGTACTTAAATTATCATAATAATTTCCATGCGCTGTTCTCCAGATAAGCACCTGCTGTTATATGAGAAAAATATGTGAACCTTTATTATAATATAATCGTATTTAGCCTGTAACAAACAGTGAGTAGGATACTTCTTGAGAGTGGCTAGCAAAGGGGAAGGAGGTAGAACAGCAGCCATGGAGTTGCATAGGAAGCTGTCTTGCACTAGATCAGACAAGTTAAGTATTATCTACTCTGACTGGTGGTGGCTTCCCAGGGCCTCCTTCACATTACCTGCTTCCAGATCCTTTTCACTGGAGATTCCAGGGACTGAACCAGGGACCTTCTACATGCCAAGTGTCTGTGCTGTCACTAACTAAAGCCCCTCCTTCAGATAGTCTGTGCAGAATGTATTGGCTGTGAACTCAGATGTAATGGTTTCCATATAGGTATGTCGTTTACAGGTCTCCTGGATCCATTACTGTCGCTTGTGACCTTGGTGGCACAGATGGCCTTCTATCAGCTTCAGCTGGTGGCCTAGCTACACCCCTATCTGGTCAGGGATAGCCTAACCTTTGTGGCCCATGCTCTGGTAACCTCTAGGTTGGATTACTGCAATACATTATATGTGGGGCTGCCTCTGAAGACCTTTCAGAAACTTCAGCTGGTGCAAAATTTGATGGCCAGGTTGCTCACCAGAACAAGATGGTTTGAGCATATAACCCCAGTCCTGGGCCAACTGCACTGGCTGCCAATTAGTTTTCAGGCTCAATTCAAAGTGCTTAGGACCTGAGGACCTTAAGGACTGCCTGTCCCCATACGAACCAAGTCAGACCCAGTGCTTGTCATCCAAAGCCCTTCTCTGTGCCCTCCCCCTGAAAGCTTCAAAGGGTGACAACACGAGAATGGGCCTTTTCTATGGTGACTTCCTATCTGTGGACTGCTCTCCCCAGAGAGGCTCGCATGGTGCCATCATTAGATGCCTTTAGGCACCAGGCAAAAACATTCCTCCTTACCCAGGCCTTTGGCCGTTAAATAATCTATAGCTTCTTAAATATTATGGAGGGGACTGCTATCATGATTATTTTATTATTATGCTCTGTATTATGTTTTTAATGTTGTGCAATACACCGTCCTGGGCTCTTTGGATAAATAATAATAAATAATAATGTAGTGCCTGTAACCTTTGTCCCTTAAATCTCTTAGTCAGTCACTGTGAGGACCCCCTCACACATACTGTACATCTCCAAATACCAGTATATAGAATACAGATCAAAGGAAGAATGAGTTGCTCTTCCAATAGTCTCTTACACAGACCATATAAGTGTGCTGTTATGATTTTAACAAGAATTATTTTTTTAAAAAAACCAATTGTAATTAAAAGTAGTACCACCATTATAAAACCAGCAACGTATCAGTCACAATTTAGGGGAAATTAATCCAGCCCCACCTCAAAGGCATTTTGAAATATTAAAAAAATGAAGTCTTGAATTAAAAAAAGCACTATTACACTAAATAAAATGTCATCCTCTACCTTTGTGCTGGTTAAGACACAAACAGATACAGCTTGGGTTGAATGCATTTATCAGGAGGTTTGTCATATTCAGACACTGGCTCCTAGACATCATCCTCCAAAATCAAAGTGTAGTTTTTGCAGTTCTTGTGTAACGTTTCGGTATGTGATGTTTCCACTTCCACACTTGTCTTTGTGTCTCATATCAAGTATATTTGCTTGTGCATTTTAACTCTGGTTAAGTATTCTATATTCATTTTGTTAATCCTAGATTCTCTCTGTGTGTGGGAGATACACTGGAATATGTCATAATTATTTGCAATATTACTGCTTTAAAGGTCTTCAATACCCACCTTCTTGTGCAGAAGATGGCATAAGGAGCAGAACTTATATGATAAAATTGCAGATTGACTATCAAAATTAATGCAAATTAAAGAGTGAAATCACCTTGGATGCAAGACTATTAGGGCAGAATATTCCCCTGTATATAGTGCCTAGTCATGGTGACTATGTTTTGTGTGTGTCTTTCTCCTCGTACCCCAGGACATTTGTGGTATTGATACAAAACACACCATTAAATTGAGAGACTTGTCCATCTAACACAAAAATCCATATTGCATTAGGCTCCCTGACTGTGCTGTCCATGAATTTCTTGGTAAATGTCATGAAGCTTGCAGACCAAAATAAATGGCCTGTTTGTATCTAGAAAACTTCAGCAGAAGACAAATGGGCAAATAAAGAAGAAAGATAGTTTGACCTTTTCTTGACTGCCTACATGCATGTGTTTCGATCCAGCCTGCATTTGGAACCAAAGCTGCTTTAGTTGCCCCAGTTGGATTATCATTTCCCTTGACCGAAAAGGACTGGACAGTACAATTCTCTTAGTCTTTCTATATCACTCAAATTTAGGCACAGCCAACAACCAGATAAGGTGAGACCACAATCTTTTTTGTCGGGGAGTAGTAATGGAGGAAGATGTTTTATGGAAGTCGTCAGGTTAACAGTTCCTCTACCTTGCTGTTAAGTTTATCTGTCTGAAGTTACAGAGAGATCATCTGGAGGTATTGGCACACTGAGGACCCTCAAATATATTTTTTCCCCAGGTGGTCCAGATGGAAGAGGACAAACAAGCAGCAACTCACTCTAGGCAGGATGGAATGGGATTGTTTAGAGATCCTGGGTGCTTAGGAAAGAAAGTTGTCCAGTATTTATCTGCATCTTCATCCTTGATGAATCCTGTTCAGTGCTTAGGAGCATTGCCTGATACTCTTTTTAGAAAATGTGTTGGTGGCAGTGGATTGAACCATTGTTTTGCCAGCTTTGTTTAATGTGTAGACTAACATTTGCTGGACTGGGGGAATCTAGCAATCACCATCACCATCACCATGCATGCCTTTGTTACACTGAAGGTCCAATGTGTAATAATGCCTTTTATGCAGGACATTTGCTGTCAAAATGCCTGGAAGCTAACAGCTGGTGCAGAATGTGGCAGCCACTTTCTTGATAGGAGGGGGGGGAGGCAAGCCATATACATACATGCTGCATACTGAACAAAATGCATTCCCTGAAAATCATTTGTTAAACAAGCATTCGTATAATGAGTCCACATTTCCATGGATTCCTATGGGAATATTTCTAATATGTAATTTTTACGATCTCTCCCCGCTCCCTACATGCATGGTTTCTGCCCAAAAATGACTACTGCTAACCAGCAAACCACAAGCAAGGAAGTGGGCAAACTTGGATATCCAAACCTGCAGCATGTATAGCAAGGTTTGGACATCATTCTTTTCATTTGGATAACTGATTTTTTGCATAATGAGCAGGCAGATAGCAGGCCCTGTGTGTACATGCTGGTCTGTGCTCTGTTGACTTTCAGATTCAATTCAAGGTGATGGCTTTGAACTATTTAGCCTGACTGAGCCCAATCTGCATTTGACAGCCCCACTCCCTATATGAGGCTTTCCATCTTCTGTAATCAAGAGAATCCTGGCAATAGCCATCTTTAATCAGGAAGCTAAGATCAGTGGGGAAATGCAGTAGTGACCTCAACACTATGGCACTCACTACTGCAACTCAAGAGACTTACCTCAGCACTAGCCTACAAACTTTAAAAAATCACGGTGGTCATATTTAGGAGGAATTTGCGATTCTGTATTTATTTTATGTCTGGTTTAATATCTCTATTACTCTAACACTTACAATTGATCCATTATATGCTAATACAATATAATAGAATGTTGCTTTTAGAGCATTAAGACTTTATTGCTGGATTTCAGATTGTAACAGAGTTTCTTTTATAAGCTGCTTTAAATAAATTTGGTGAAAATACATAGAAATCAACCAAAATAGCAAGTTTTATTGAACTGACTTCACTGAGGATACAGTGTATTCTGTTTATGCATGCTTTTCTGCCCACCGGTTTTTATTTGGATTCTATAGGTGGTGCCATGTCTAGAAATTTAAAAGTAATTGAGATATACTTTTAATTGCACATGCAGCAGTGCAGTTAAAACCAGCTGCTGGGAAGCCATTGAACTCACACTAAGTTTTGTGCACAATCAATACATTTAGCTTGTTGACTCATTAATTTCAGTAAAGTTGACTTTCTCTTTGTTTCAAAGCTGCTTGCACGACTTGAGGGCAGAAGTTCTCTGAAGACGCTTGAACCTTGTCTGTTTGCTGATGAAGGATATCCTATTCATGGTAAATACATACAGATCCTTAAAAATATTCACAGTAATAATTGTCTGGCATATTGGAAGATAAATGGTAAACAAGCAAACAAACAAATTAAAATTTATGCTCCCCATTTTCTTTTTATCTTAGCTTTGGAAGGGAAAGTTTTTTTCTCTTGCTGCCTGAGAACAAATTGGTTGGCATGAGTGTGTGTTACACACATCAAGAAAAGAAAATATATTCACTTGCTTTCCAGAAGTGTAGCTGTATTGGTTTGTTGTATTAAAATAAAATAATCAAATCCAGTGGGGCTTGCTTCTAAATAGACCTGCGTAGGATAGGGAATTTGATTGTACTGAAAAGTTGCACATGATTTCAGGTAGAGGTGTGTGTGTTACAGCTGAAAGCTGAGCCATTTGAAAGGTATCTTGAACAGCAAATGCCTTCCTAGCTTAAACATTTGCTTCTTCATTATTAAACAGGAGATATTGTTGAATTCCATGGTCCAGAAGGAACAGGAAAAACAGAAATGCTCTATCATCTTATTGCCCGCTGCATTCTTCCAAAATCTGGTGGTGGCTTGGATGTTGGTGTGCTTTTTATTGATACAGACTTCCATTTTGACCTGTTGCGTTTAGTGACTATTCTGGAGCACAGATTGCCCCAAGGCACAGAAGAGATGATAAAGCAGTGTCTGGGGAGGTTTTTCCTTGTTAATTGCAGCAGCAGCGCTCAGCTGCTTCTTACTCTTTTCTCTTTGGAAAACATGTTTTGCTCTCACCCTTCCCTGTGCCTCTTGATTATTGACAGTATATCAGCCTTTTATTGGATTGACAGAGTCAATGGAGGGGAGAACCTTAGCCAGCAGGAAGCAAACCTAAAGAGATGTGCGCAGTTCCTGGGGAAGCTTGTAAGAGAGCACCACTTAGTTTTGTTTGCAACAACTCAAACAATCATGCAGAAATCACTGAACACATCTGAAAGTTCAGGAAAACACCACAGTGAAGCAGATATGGACTACCGGCCTTACCTCTGTCAGTCGTGGCAACGGCTGATAACTCATCGAATCTTTTTCTCCAAGCAATGCCATTCAGGCACCGCAAAAGGATTTTCAATTACCGCTTGCCATGTAAGAAATAACAGTGTTGTAAAACGCCCATTTAGCATTACAGAATGTGGGATCCAGTTTTGACAGTGGACTGTTTTTTAAAAGTAGACTACAATTTGACACTACAGTCAAGTTAGTTTTTTTAAAACTTGTGCCTTTTTTAAAAAAAAGGTTTATTTTTTTATGCCAATATTTTCTAAAATGTAAATAATAAAGATTCAGGATTGTCAGACTTTGTGTCATGCAGTATTGAAGCCTTTAAAAAGAGACCTGCCATTCCAAAAAAGATCATTTATCCATAATGTCTGTCAGCTGCTTTTGAAATGGAAGCGTAGAAATGGAAGCTTTTTTGAAGCTGAGCACTGCACAGCTGAGCTAGATTCTTTGTTATATAAGTGCATTAGCTGACACTCGGCACTGCACACATTTGAATTTAATAGGAAGAACATAAGACAAGCTTGTTGGATCAGGCCAGTGGCCTATCTAGTCCAGCATTCTGTTCTCACAGCAGCCAACCAGATGCCCATGGCAAACTCAACATAAGCACAACAGCGCTCTGGCCACCTGTGATTCTCAGCAACTGGCGTTTAGAGGCATACTGCTGCCAACGGTGGAGGTAAAACAGCCATCAACGGATACACACTAAGGTCCCACCCCACTCACCAACTGCTTTTATCCACATTTACCCTTTCAGATGGGATAGTATTGGGGTTAAATTGGGTTGCTTACTTTTGACCTGTAACTTGAGTTGCAGTTCTAAAGAGTACTGAAAAACTATGCATGCAATGGTAGAACAAATAAAGTCACTGTCCTGCATAAGATCCAAGTAGAACATTTGTGTTTGGAATGCAGCGTGCAACTCATCAAAATTCTGGCAGACCAGTTTCATCTAATGAGAAATGACCCGCAGCTCTGGCAAGAAGAAAACCATATTGAATCAGTAAAGCAAATGCTAATTGTATTGGCTTTGGAAAGCTTCAAATCCTTTGCGAAATAAACTGTCTTCTGCATTATTTACAAATCCAGTACATACAACGGCTCCAAAAAGAGGAAGGTTCTCAACAAACATGGGCAGTAGTTCAGATGACCTTCCATTAATTGATGGTGGAAATGTATATTTTTGACTGCTCAGTGTGTATCGTGTACGTTAATATACTGCAACCCTTGATAGGTCGGTTCTGTAATCTACATATTATGGATGGAGTGGATGAGGTCCCCTCTTGATAACTCTGGCTGAACAGGAAGGTGCTGTGGACTGATTTTGAACAGGAATTCATAATTTCCCTATGAGATTTCTATTATGGACTAAAAAGAAAAGCCATCCACTAGATTTTCTTTTAATAATGATTCTTGATTCCATACTCAGACTTAGGGATAAAGTTAAGGAGCTATTAAACCCTAGATTTTCTCAATTAACTACTTAAATTAATGATCATAAAGTATTACTACCTTGGTCCTGTTGTAAGATGATTTATGAAGAGACTGTCAGGAGCTTGAATGAAAGGCACTCTTTCATTTCTTTTAAGATTAGATCTTACTTGACTCATGAGTTGAAAGTTCATCATATGGAGCATTCTGCTAGATCAGACCAAAGACCTAACCTGTCCAGCACCCTGTTCCCCAGATGCCTGCAGGAAGTCCACAAACAAGAAGTGGTCAAGGTGATTAGATGAGTCCAGCCACTCATGTGTATGCTTGACCCTTTGGGCAAAAAAACTGGAAGATAAAGAAGATTGAGTTTTCTTCCCTAGAACATCAAAATTAATCCCCAGCTTTGCTAAATCAAAGACTGCCATGTTTCTCCTTGTTTCTGCTGTCTGTTTACCCCAGAAACCTGTGTGTTTCATTTAAGGGCCAGGACAGGTCTGGACTATAAGCCAGTCTCCAGTTTCTTAGAGATGGGGAGCCCCTTGCCTGCTAAAGAGTTCTGGAAAATTAAAATGTCTGTCAGATTTTTACGAATCCCTGGTCCCTTTAAATTTCCTTTTTCCTAGTGGTCCAGAGAGCCATGCTGAAAGACCATATCATCCTGTTTTACTAGTTTGGTTTTTTTTGGACCAAGCACCTTCCATCATTGGTTTTGGCCTTGGGAAAGTATTTGCATACATGGCTCCCGAGCCCTAGCAAAAAAAAAATGTTATCTTTTTATTGTCTACCCTATAAATTATTTTCACTGTGTGTTTGGGGATTGTAAACATGATTTATTTTTTAAATGAAGAAGAAGAAACCCGAAATTTGGTTATATTCATTAAAATGGCAATTAGCAAGCCTGTTATACTGGAGCTCTTGGACTGAAAGAGGCATTACCATGGCAGGGATTCTTCATAGTATGCCAGCTGAACAGGTTTGTGGCTTAGGCTGCTCTGTCTGTGTCAGCCCCCAAAAATATTTTCACAGCCTATATTGAAGGGTCTCTTTGTGTCTCTTTCTCTCTCCCTCTTCCACTGAGGGGAGTTTGCTTAAATATTTTATAGCTGTGACTTCTGCTGCTAAAAGAACGAGTTAATCTCCACTGCATTTTTGACCTGGAGGGGGTGCGGATACTAGTGCATATTTGGTGCAAACTAGAGGAGCGTTACTCTTTTCCCAGGTGGAAACACCATGCCAATTCATCTCTGAGTTAAGTGGTGACTGAACTGCAACTATTTTTGCTCATCTGGAAGCTCTAATGCACCTCTCCAGTGGATGCCATTCACATGTCGTTATTTAATTAATTAACAGCTCCGCCAAGGGAAGCCAATAATGAGTCCATTAAAGCTTTTCTTTCCCCCTCTCTCTCCTTCCCTCCCCCCACTTTCCCCTAAAAGGTAACTAAATAACTTGTATGGTAGGAACATATGTTGCACTCTGTTTCCTCCTTCGAGAGCACTTAAAAGTGCAATCTGTTTATATTTTGAACTATTTTATTTTATTTTAAATCCACCTAACTCAAGCTGCCTCTGCTCCCATTTGGAATGCGTTCTGCAGAAAGCTGGTGTGAGTCCTTGCTCTCTAGAAATAGCAAAGGCACCTTTGCTTGGTTCAAGTGCCAAGCCCCTTGAAAGAGCCTGGCAGTCTCAACACAGTTCCATCATGCCACATGCAAGACTGGTGCCTATTACTACATTGAGGAGGAAAGAAGAGAGCTCCTTGCAGTAAGTAAAATACTTGTGTGCAAATACCAGTGTCTGGCCAACAGCTCGAGCGAGTTGGTTGGCCCAGACCGCCAACGCAAATGAGAGCTCATATATATGGTGGGGAGAATCGAGGGACCTTGGTCTTACAGAAATGATCTGAAAGAAGCACCTTTTGCTCACATAATGGCAGCACTGCACTGATCACAGTCAAGCCCCAACACCTTGTGGCATGCAGTTCTTCAGTATCTTAGGGTGGCTCACCATGTGCTAGACTGCTTTTGCAGTTTCAGACAGGCAACAACAAAGGTCCACCATGCAAGGCTAGTGGGCTTCATTATACAGTGGTACCTCGGGTTACATACGCTTCAGGTTACAGACTCTGCTAACCCAGAAATAGTACCTTGGGTTAAGAACTTTGCTTCAGGATGAGAACAGAAATCGTGCAGCGGTGGCAGCAGGAGGCCCCATTAGCTAAAGTGGTGCTTCAGGTTAAGAACAGTTTCAGGTTAAAAACGGACCTCCAGAACATATTAAGTACTTAACCAGAGGTACCACTGTACTTGGCAAGCCACAAGTTGAATCCCTGCTGTGATTCATCCCTGTCCTTTGTTGCCCCATATAAACTTTCTCTTTTGTTAAGATACAGTATTTTCCTTTGTGCAACAGATCTATGTGTGACTCTCAGACTCCGTTCCTCACTCTGCCTTTGCCTGCTATTGCTTTCCTTTCTGGCTGTGCAAGTTTTCCTGGTTCCTTGGCTCCACCACTCTTGTTACCTGCTTTCATGCATGCAAGCCTTTTGAATATGAGCTCCAACCTGCTCCCATGCTTTTTTGCATTAGTTTCGTATTGTAAACATCTTCAGATATCTGAAGGGTTGTTGATGGATGGAGCAAGCTTGTTTTCTGGGCCTTCAGGGGGTAGGATCCAAACCATGGAGTCAAATTGCAAGTCAGGAGATTCCAACTAAACATTAGGAGGAACTTTCTGGTGGAAAGATCTGTTTGAAAGTGGAATAGACGACTGTTTGCTTGCTTGCTTGCTTGCTTGTTTGCTTGCTTGTTTTCTATACTGCCCTTCATCTGAAGATCACAGGGTGGTTTACAGCATAAAAATACAAATGAGAGCACCTCAGAAGATGATGGACTCTCAGTCACTGGAGGTTTTATACAAAGGTCTGATTGCTATCTGTCAGCGATTTTTTAGTTGTGACTAAGTTCTGCATTGCAGGGGGTTGGACTAGATGACCCTCATGATCCCTTCCAACCCTACAGTTCTGTGGTTCTATGAACTGCCTCCCTAATTTACAATGAAGGGTGTTCTATAAACATTGTCATAAAATAATAATAAAAAGGTAAACTGGGACATTTGCCATGTAACTGCCATGCCACACCACCTCCCCTCCCCACCTACCCCCGCCCTGCCAAATGAGCCTGGCAAAGAGAGAGCTAATCGCAGTGCCATCTGTGGTGGTTCCACAAACAACCAGCACCGCAGCCAGTATTTGCACACCACTAAACGAAATTTCCTTTGCGGCCTGGTCTGCGTTCAGACTTCTGCCCCCAGAGCCCAGCGAGGAGGCCCTCTTTGGTTTCCGACGGTTACTTCTAGGGATGAGAATCCAACTTGTTTATTAACTTGTCAAGTTAAAAATGTGCAGTTTGGTGCTTTCTTTCCTGGCTTGTTTTTCCCACTTAGGGTCCAAGCTGGGGCTGTGTAGCGACTTTGTGTTCCACGCTGCCCCCTGCCCACTCTTCCCCCCTTCACCTCCCCTCCCAGCACGGACCAAAAAAAAAAGGACTGTGCTGTTTTTCTAAACGTCTCTCAGGCATTGCCAGGACACTGGCAGCAAAGCAGGCTGGCAAGAGACAGGCCCTGTCTCTGTTCTGCATCGCGGAAGTCGAAGCATATCCCAAAGGCCTCTGGCCAGCACCTCCCTTCGAGGGGAAGGCGACCAATCAGCTCCCCGATGATATCATTACATGGCAAAGGCGCTTCCCTCTTCTAGCACTTACTACGATGCCAACTCCAACCCTCAGTGTGTTTCGCCTCAGCCTGGTCCATGCACTGTAATAATTAAGTCAACTGGAAAAAATATTGAAGAAAAGAACTGAGGGAAAACAGCATGTAGAGGCAGCTGGAGGCAGCAAAGAAGGCCCACAGAGAGCTATAAAGGGCCATTGTGTAGAAGCTACTCCTGACTTCAGGATATTTAGTTCCTTGCAGGAGCTGGAGAAGATGGGTAATAAGCTGCCCTTTATTTCCAGAGGTGTCCTTCGCAGTCACAGCTGCGTCAAGATCAGCCTTGGAGATATGTGGGAACAGTGCTAGCACTCTATCTCTTCCTCTCTTGGCGCTTCCCACTCGATTGAATGGCCTTGGTCCAGGAAAACAAAATAGCCTCTGTGCAGAAAACAGCCATTGAGCTAGGAAAGAGATGAAGTGGCAATGAAAACAGCTTGGGAGGAAATGATGACTCCCTGTGTGAAAATGCCTTTTGCCAAAACCACGAGCACCATTGAGAAGAAAAGCCCTCTTGGGTTCGCTGATAAGGAGCGATGGAGCAAGCAAAGCGGGCTATCGAGTTCTTTTGCCAGTTCACACACTGCCCGCCATGCACAGCAATGGGACCTGTTGTCAGCAAAGCAGCCTGCGGACTGGGGTGTGGGCGGCAGTGGGTTGTTTCGCAAATGGAAAAGGAAGTGCTTTCCATGCCTCGATTCCAGGTGTGTGAGGGCCGGATGAAGTTGCTGGTTGTGCATGTTCAGTGGGACCATAGCTCAGGGCTAGAGCCCTTGCTATGCATGCAGAAGACCCCAAAGTTAATACTTAAACTTTAAAAAGATTGTCCAGGGGGAGAATGCCGTTGGCCGAGACCCTGAAGAGCCACTATCAGGTCATAAGTAGAACTAGATGGATGATGAAAAGACATGGAAAATTTGGTTGATACTGAAAATTCTGAAAAACCAGTTTTGTGCATTCATATTTAGCTGTGATTCTTGCATTGCAAGGGGCTGAGCTAGATGAGCCTGGGGTCCCTTCCAGCTCTACAGTTCTATGAGTCTAAATATGACCTGTAATAAAAGAGCTTCCAATGTCTGTAGGAACTGTAGCCAGCCTCCATGTAGTAGGCACCAGTATGTGCAGGTTCTGCTATCTTGGGCAACAGATATTTCATATTATAATTTTATTATATTATAATATTATAATTTTAAAAACACCACACTTTTCAAGAGAAGAAGTTCACATACAGTGGTACCTCAGGTTAAGTACTTAATTCGTTCCGGAGGTCCGTTCCTAACCTGAAACTATTCTTAACCTGAAGCACCACTTTAGCTAATGGGGCCTCCCGCTGCACCACTGGAGCACGATTTCTGTTCTCATCCTGAAGCAAAGTTCTTAAGCCGAGGTACTATTTCTGGGTTAGCGGAGTCTGTAACCTGAAGCGTATGTAACCTGAAGCATATGTAACCTGAGGTACCACTGTGCTCAGTTTAGAGTCATTGAATGATGTATATGTGAATCATTCCTCCAGCTTTTGGCCTATTCAGGCTTGCTGTCAAAGGGTGTCCTGCCCTGACTGCATTTCATTATCCTTCAAGTGATAATCCTGCAACCCCCAGCAGACCCTCCAACGTTCGGGGCGATCCAAACTGGGATGCTCGTTTTTGGTCAGCCACTCCGGCACAAGCCAACTGACTCCCACAAGAGCACCCAGCCAAAAAATGAGCCCCTTTTGGTCAGCTGCTCTGGTGTGAGTCAGAGCACCAGTCCAAAATGCAGGACATTCCAGGATCCAAACAGAAGCCAGGGTGGCTTCTGTCATTCCAGGATGTCCCACTTAAATTAGGGCAGTTGAGCAGTATGCCCTAGATGCAAAGGCAATATTCAGTCTGCAAGTAATGGATGAGATGTTGCCTTGCTGAAGGTAACGCATATAGCCATAATCCATTGCTTCTCAGTCATTGGTTTGTGGACCCCAGGTGGTCCACGTAACCCACCCAGGGGGTCTGTGGCAGCATTCACATAACAAAAACACCATAGAAATACTTTTTTTTTTTCAAAAGTAGGGTGTCCATGGCTTGGCTTTTGAAAAATGGAGTCCACCATACTTAGCTAATTGGGAACCATTGCCACAATCCATTATATGAGACTCATTTCCTTTGTTGGGCAGAAAGGGCATACATCTTTCAATTTTTTATTTTTTAAAATCAGGAGAGGCAGAACAAACTAAATTAGTTCTACAAACAAGCAGAGCATTGCAGTGGAAAGAGGAGAGGATAACCTTACTAATGTTCATCCACATTATTACTTTTTAAACGAGAGCAGCATGAATGATGCAGCATCTACGTGGTACAACAGGAAGGCATTCAACTGTTAAAGAATGAATCACCATCAAAATAATGTTAAAAGTTAAACATTTTGAAATGTCACTTTATGAACAATTTGTGACCCAGGGAGCTGAGCATAGGCCACCAGTGTGCCTCAGACATCAAAAGCTGGAGATTTGTTAAGGAACAGCTGGGCTGAAAGCAACGTCTAGTGAGCTTGTGCAGATGGTTCCAAATTATGCCAGCTTGTTTTATGGGCTCTAAATAGGAAAGTATGTGACTCGTTATAAGCCATGTGATCTGCACTAGCCAGTAAGGGGACCCCGACACAGTTCTGGCTGCCTCACCCTCAAAAGGATATTGTGGCGTTAGAAAAAGGTTCAGAAAAGGGTAACCCAAATATCAAGGTGATGGTGGGGCTCTCCTATGAGGAACTATTGCGGCATTTTGGACTTTTTAGTTTAATGGATTGCAAGAGGCATCATGATAAAGTTGTTACAAAATTGGATATGGCCATAGGCGTCAATGCTATGGGGCTCCCCAGCCCCAACATATGCGGAGACAAGGCAATGGAGGGCTCCGACGGGCCACCCTGTGGTGGCAGAGAGCTCTCCAAACCTCCTAACATCACACATGTGACATCACACAATGAGCCCCCGAACTGTCGTGCAGAACTTAGCACCTCTGGATCTGGCCCAAAGTGGATTGGGGGGGGATCTCTCTCATAACACTAGAACTTGCAGACATCCAATGAATCTGAATGTTGGCAGATTCAGAACAGAAAAAAGTAAGTACAGTGGAACCTCGACTTACATATGGCTCTACTTACATACCATTCTAGTTACGACCTTCAGTAGGTGCTTCGATTTATGAACTTTCCTCTACAAACAGAGGCCTTGCCAGCAGCCCGGAGCTTGCCCAGCCAGTGGCAGCCTCTGCCGCCAGGGAGAGGCCTCCGGTTTGCCGGAGCTCACCCCACCGGCTGCTGAGCACTTGTTCTTGTGACTGTGTGGCACCCAGTTCAGCTACTGGTTGTTTGACTGCATAAATGGATAAAGCCCCCCCCCATCCAAACATTGACTACTGTATCATCAGTGCACATAACAAAAAAAATTAATGTTAATTTTTTTCATCTACAATACTGTCTTATTTATTTTATAGTACAGTACATTGATTATTGCCTTCATTTTATGGATCTATGGTCTCGTTAGACAGTAAAATCTGTGTTAAATTGCTGTTTTAGGGAAGGTTTTTCATCATCTAGAACGGATCAATTCACTTTTCCATTACTTTCTATGGAAACGTGCGCCTCTACTTATGTACGTTTCTAGTTATGACCGGACCTCCGGAACAGATTATGGTTGTAAGTAGAGGTTCCACTGTACCTCTTCACACAGTGCATAGTTAAAACATAGAACTCGCTCCCAAAGCAGGCAGTGATGTCTACCAACTTGAATGGCTTTAAGAGAAGAACAAATTCATGGAGGAGAACAAATTCATGGAGGATAAGGCTATCAATGAATCATAGAATCATAGAACTGTGGAAGGGACCCAGGGGTCATGTAGTCCAACCCCCTGCAATGTAGGAATCTCAGCTAAAACATCCATGACAGGTGGCCATCCAACCCCTGCTTAAAAAACCTCCAAGGAAAGAAGAGTCCACAACCCCCCGAGGTTACACTGTAGGAATCTCCTTTCTTGTAACTTGAAGCCATTGGTTCGAGTCTTACCCTACAGGGTAGGAGAAAACAAGCTTGCTCCATCTTCCAAGTGACAGCCCTTGAGATATTTGAAGGTAGCTATCCTATCTCCTCTCTATGACTACTAGCCATGATGGGTATGCTGTGCTTCCGCGGTCAGAGGAAGTAATGCTTCTGAATACCAGTTCCTGGAAGCCACATTGGCGCAGAGTGTTCTTGTGCTTGGGTCCTGTTTGCACGTCACTGTGAGAATACGGTTCTGGGCCATAGCCTGATCAAGCATACACTTCTTATGCTTTGGTTGGTTGGTTGGGCTATTATTGCATTTATACCCCACCTATTACCCCAAAGGACGTGGGTGGCGCTGTGAGTTAAACCACAGAGCCTAGGACTTGCCGATCAGAAGGTTGGCGGTTCGAATCCCCACGATGGGGTGACCTCCCATTGCTCGGTCCCTGCTCCTGCCAACCTAGCAGTTTGAAAGCACGTCAAAGTGCAAGTAGATAAATAGGTACTGCTCCGGCGGGAAGGTAAACGGCGTTTCCGTGCGCTGCTCTGGTTCGCCAGAAGCGGCTTAGTCATGCTGGCCACATGACCCAGAAGCTGTACACTGGGTCCCACGCCCAATAAAGCGAGATGAGCACCGCAACCCCAGAGTCGGCCATAACTGGACATAATGGTCAGGGGTCCCTTTACCTTTACCTTTATTACCCCAAAGAGCTCAAGGCAACATAAATGGTTCTCCCACTTTTCATTTAATTCACACAGCAACCCTGTGAGGTAGATTTGGCTGAGAGGCAGTGACTGGCTCCAGGTCAGCTAGTGAGCTTCATGGCTGAGTGGGGATTTGAACCCTGTTCTCCCAGATTGTAGTCCAGCACTCTAACCACTGTACCACATGCACAACTGTCATCCGCACCACACTTTCTGAAACCAATGTGCTGTCTTCGGAGAAACAGTTGCCTAGGGTAGTATTTTGCAGGCTGCTGGCGAAACGCAACGTCGGCCCAGCAGAAGAAGCACTGCTTTAAGAAAAGATTCCTTGCAACAAATGAGTAACAGCTGCACATTTCTTGCTCTACAAACCTAATCATCTGCGAAAGGGTCCTTTGAGACCCATGAAAATAAAATATACTGAGTTAGTGTCCTGTTCTTCTAACTGAACCTCACCAGTATAAACTAATGAATACTCCTGTAACAACCAGAATTCACTAGAAGAGCAACAAATTCCCATTACACCTCGTTGGCTTCTCCTATTGAAGTTATTTCCAAGTCCATCAGTTTTGCTACAAATGTTCCTGGAATAGGATCTACCTGGCCAGCCATTCCAAGGATTTGTCTGCCTGTGATAAATGCAATTCATCTAAATCCAGATTATCTCAGCCTTTGGACAAGGCCCAGTTGAACAGGTGGCTGGCCTCTGTCTCTTGAGATGCAGCCACATACTTTTCTGCAAGGATGAAATAGTTTTAGAGGCCATTAGGGGCTGCTATAGTTCAGATATTTGTTTGCTCCTTTTTCACCCCCAATAAATTATTATAAAAGAGAACCAGAAAACTGTAGGAAAATAGAATATGTGACTGCGTGTCACAATTTTGTACCCAAAACATAACTTTGTTTAACATTTCACGTATCTGATGAAGTAGACTCCAACCAAAGCTTATGCCATAATGATTCTTTAAGGTGCCACAAGATTTCTGATGAGTTTATCTAGTTAGCTTATTGCCTGGTGACACACATGATTTTATATACATATATTAACTTCAGTTTAAGTTAGCATGTTTTTGGTGATGGTGTCTCCACCTCCACCAAATTCTGCATCATTTCTGCAATCTCTTTGTGGATAAGCATTGACACCAGAGAATACTACATTTTCTGCCCGTCAGTGTAGACAGTATTAGCCTAGATCAGGCATCCCCAGTCTCGGCCCTCCAGATGTTTTGGGACCCATCATCCCTGACCACTGGTCCCGTTAGCTAGGGATGATGGGAGTTGTAGTCCCAAAACATCTGGAGGGCCGAGTTTGGGGGTGCCTGACCTAGATAGACCAATAGTCTGACTTGGTTTCCTGTCCTGCCTAAGATTTCGGCAATTGCCTTGGCATATTATGTACAAGAATTACTAATGAGATTATACAACTTCCCCAATGGTAGACATGTAAGAAGGCAGCGATTTCCATTCCATCCTGACTTAATCACAATCGGCACTGTTTCTATTCCGCTGCAATTCGGTTTCCATCAAGTACTACATTATTCATCTCACTGTCTGTTATTCAATGTAATTAATATAATGTACATAAGTTATGAATGTCACCTAATTAATGATGTAATTACAGTAGCTGTACACTATTCATTTCAGTGCAAAGAAAACACCATTTAATTTTTTTAAAAATAAGATTTTATTGAGGTTTTACATAAGGTAATATAATTTAAAAAACCAAGCTAATCTAAATGAAAACAGAAAAAGGAAGAAGAAGAAGAGTTTGGATTTGATATCCCGCTTTATCACTACCCTAGGGTCTCAAAGCAGCTAACATTCTCCTTTCCCTTCTTCCCCCACAACAAACACTCTGTGAGGTGAGTGGGGCTGAGAGACTTCAGAGAAGTGTGACTGGCCCAAGGTCACCCAGCAGCTGCATGTGGAGGAGCGGGGAAGCGAACCCGGTTCACCAGATTACGAGTCTACCGCTCTTAACCACTACACCACACTGGCTGGGAAAAGGAAGAAAAATGCAAGGTCCTCTCTCAAAAGTAGATCTTAACCCTTGTCTCACACAGAAAGAGGTAGATCCTTCCAGCTCTCACCTGGGAGCTTCCCTTTCTTCTCTCAGCCTTCCTAACTGGGAGATCTTCCCTTCCCTGCCTCTCACACAGGGTCCTTCACCAGCCCTCCATCACCTTCCTCTGCATATAAATGGGGCAGAAGGTAGATATGTTTGCTGCTTCTGTTTCCATTTTTGTTGGGATTCTCTGACATCACCACCAATAGGAACTTTCCTATTTTCTGCGCCTCTCCCTCCCCTGATCTCACACAGTGGATTTAAGAATGGAAATCCAAACAGCATATACTTTTCTAAATGTACAACATTTTCAGTAGCACCCTCCAAACAAATGCCATGCACAGTGATTCTTGGTTTTGCTGTGTCTCTGTACACCGAAGCACTGCTGTCAGGTTGTCAAGAAGACGCCTTCACCCCGGTATGGCTCCCATTTATCACATACACAGCCCAACAGGACAATGACAATAATCCACCAACAGCATACAAATCAATATGGCTAACCTGATCCAAAACACCCACCCACCTCACTCACACACGAAAACAAAGATCACCACAGCCAATCACAAGCAAACAATCACACCCTAGGCCAACCCCAACCTCTCTCACCACCAAAGGAACACAAGTGAACAACACAAGCAACGCTGACACCAAACTCTACATACATTAAACATACTAGAAACACCGCCACCTGACCCCACCCCCACCCATCTTCCCTCTATCCACCCCCCTTTTTTCTTTTTTCTTTTTTTTTTCTTCTCCCCCTAATGCCTCAACAAATGAAACGGATTTGTAAAAATGTTACATGAAAAAAAAAATACGAGGCACTACACTTCTGTAAAACAAGAAAATCCTTAATAAAATATTTTTTAAAAAAAAACAACACACACACCGAGATGGCTAAAGTGAAATTGCCAGAGGCTGCAAAATCAGCCAAGCCTAAATTGAATTAACTTGCTTGCTAGAAAGATGACGGCCTCTCCACCTTATTACCCATATCCCAGTCATCATTAGCATACAGGTAAAATACCCAAGCCAGGAAAGTAACAAAATAATTTGTAGAGATGGAAAAGGGATTGTCTTCATAACTATGCAACTGTCTGGGTGAAAAACAAATCATTGTTTCATAACCTCATCACTGGTAAGAAACTCCTTAACAAATGCTGGGGCATTTATTTTTAGGTAGGGGGAGAGAGAGAATGTTTCCAATGTGACAAACGCCACCACCATCACCTGTAATATGCAGGCAATATGCACAAACAGCATATTCAAAATCAAGAGTGTGCCTGGCCTAGTCTTAAGAATTCATAGTAGTCCAGCATCTTTCCTGAGGGACCACAAGTTATCCACCTCTGGGCACTGCTTGATTAAGGATTGTGTGAATACATATTTGATTTTATTGTTTTATCTGGTTGTAAACCCCTTTGAATGTTTTTTTTTTAAAACAAGCCGTGTATAAATCATTTGAAATAAATAACTAATAAATAATATTTAATGGATGGTCTGCAAGCAGCAAGTCTGGGTGTGCTGGCTTCCCTGGGCTTCACTCACCATTCTCCACTCCCACCTTGCCTTATTCTTCCAGAAAACTACCTCCTTAAAGCATTGAGTTCTGCTTTCAGCCTTAACCTAGTTCAAGTTATGAACTCTTATCAGACCCACCCAGCACACAACTCCAGATCACAGCCACTATCTGCCAGGTTCTTGCCTTTGAACATTTGGAAACCCCAAGCTTTGGGTGTGTTTTTTTTGGGGGGGGGAACCAAATCTTAAAAAAGCAGGGTGCAGATGATCCACCTACCCAATGGGCCTAGTTTATCATCTAACTCACGGATGCAAATTGTAATTGGCAGGTACTTCCTAAATAGGTGGCTTGGTAGGTCTGGCTGTCTCTGTTTAGAGCTGGCCAGGGTTTCTTCAGTTCAAGGCTACACACACACACACTCTTCCTTTTACTAAACTTTGTACAAAAGCTTGTAAGGGGAAGTTAAGTCGGATATGATAAAGACAGATGAAGTATTTAATCCTTTTGGAGTGACTGTGCCACAGTGAAAAGTGTAGTATCTGAATGTTTCCTTGCTGTGCGTAAGGGGATTAGCATGAAATATGAAGATTCCGGAACAAAAATGGTCATTATATCTCAGCGATTCAAGAGATTACAGCTATGAGTCTATTTGCACATCCTTGGGAAAACCCAATGCTCAAAAGGCTGTGTTGTGCTTGAGATGCCTGAAAAATGATTTGGGCTGTGGCAAGCTCCCAGCTTCTTTTCATTACACGTCTTACGGCTGTGAACTGGCCCTTCATCTTGCACCAGTCCTATAAAGACGACCAGGAGTGACTGTAAATGTGTCCCTTGTAGCATATTATGGAGGACATTACAGGAAGGCTGGTCTGGTGCCAGCTTTTTCCTAGCTTAATGAATTTCTTTCAGGAATTGTGAACACTGCACTGAGACCACCAGTGAATATCCTCCTAAACATCCTTGGTTAATCTTTGTAAGGAGCCTCTCATGCAATTGAATTCTGATTCTTCCCCCTTCTTGAGGAGGCGAAGCAATTGAAAACACGGACACTCAGACATTTTTCGTGGTGAAAACAAGTCCCAGCGCGGCCCATGAAGAGCTGGGATATGGATGATTCTGCGAAAGCTGCATCGCATCATCGTAACTATCAGCATAAAGGTAGAGAATTCTCTCTGCCGCTGCACCAGAGAGCAAGAAAACAGTCCCTGTAATTTATCACAGCCACAGAGAGCAGCTTTATGGGCTCAGAAGCCCAGCCTAACAATTCCAACAGAGCATGTTTCAGAGATATTTATTTACAAGTTTCACAACTGTAGACTCTGTCATAGACACAGGGTAGAAGTAGCACTGGATACAACCCTTAGTTTTGACATCTATCTATCTATCATTCATTCATTCATTCATTCATTTAAAGGTTCCACCACTTCCATTACAGCTGGACAAGTGATAAGACTGAAAACATCTCTGCTGACTTTAATAAGACCAGTTGGAGGTTTTATTTACAACTAAGTGGTATATAAATGTTATTAAATCAACCAAGCAAGCGATTTCAAACAAGTTTCCATGCAAAGTTCAACAAGCAAGAGCAAGCCCAGAATTTTCTCTTGAGCCCTGTCCTCATAGAGCCAGAAGGTAACATTGACCCTTGCCAGGACATTTTTGGAGGACTTATACAAATCCGTGTTATGGAAGGGAATTAGGCATGCTTTGCTCAGGCCGAACAGTTATTCCCTTTATGCATACACCCATTCTTGTAATCCCACAATCAACAAGGTATTAGTCATAAAGGAGATACAAGCACTGAAAACTCTCTACGTAAGTTGCTTTCTGCAGCATGGGTGGCATTCAGCTAAGTTTTACTCATCGAGTAAATCCACTGAATTTAATGAACATGACTGAGTTAGGTCCACACGTTACAGTGGGTCAGCTCGGAGCAAAACTTAGTTGAATACCATCCCCATATGTTGTTAAACTGAGACTAGCTGGGAAGGTAAGAGAATGAGGGAATGGAATACAAAAGTTAAGAATACAGACGAACTCGGGTGGAAAGCGTTTTTCCACTTTTAAGTTTCTGAGTTTCTTTGGTTGTAAGTTGGTTTGAGTTACCTTGGGCAAGATAAATCAGACTAACAAATTTAATTAATAATAGTATACAGGAGCCTCCATGCATACGCCCAAGCCTGCATACAGGGGTGCCAACTTGAATAAAATATGGGGGGGGGCAGGTAAGCCCCATGAGAGACACTACAGCAGGAGTCGGCAAACTAAGGTATGCAGGCCGGATCAGGCCCAATTGCCATCAGGATCCGGCCTGCGGACTGTCTGTGGATCGGCGTGGGGATTCTGTTCATTCAGGCCGTGCCATTTTCACCCCTGCACCATTCATCCCCCCCCCCCTCCCTCACACACACTGCGGCGCCGCCGCCTCCCTCCTCCTGGCTTCTCCCTGCCCTGCCTAGAGGAGGAAGGGGGCTGGGCTCAGTGCCATTTTAAGCAGCCCCTCTCCAGAGCCAGCCCTTTCGCGCCACTCATCTTCCCTCCACTGCCGCCCTGGTGCTCCTGTGGGCCAGAGAGTAGAGCAGATGACCTCGCTCTGCCTACCCACGAGAAGCAGCAGTGGTGGTGGCAGCAGCCCCTGGGAAGGTAAGCACAGCGGCGTGGGCGGGGAGGACTACTTGCCCCCCTTGCCTCTTCTTCCAGCTCCCCCCACCCCGGTGCCACTGCGAGGTATAAATAATAAATTATTATTCTCCAGCCCGCCACAAGGTCTGAGGGACAGTGGACCAGCCCACGGCTAAAAAATTTTGCCGACCCCTGCAGTACAGTGTGCGTGGGTGAACACTGGAGGAAGAAGTAATGTATATGCTTACAAAAGAGCAGAGACCCTGGTCCCCAATATGCCATAGAAATGTCGCTTGGAAAAGTAGGGAAAGCGGGATCTGCTTTAGCTCCTAACAGTGCATGACATTCTGGAGGAAGACGCGGCTGACTGGCAAGCTAGTTAGAACCCAGAACACTTCTCTTAGGCTTAGGGAGTGATGATATGCTACAACATTGTGTTGCAGATCTTATTTGTATGTGTAACGTTCAAACAATTCACTTACTGTTTGCAGCACATTTCCCCTCTGTATTGTGCACACAAAACATGGGAACAGTTGCTTTAATATATAGCGTAAAAGAAATAAATCTCAAATAATGCTCATGAAAATTGTGCCCATTTTCTTCACTGGGGATATTTGACACATTTGTAAAGGTAAAGGGACTCCTGACCATTAGGTCCAGTTGTGACCAACTCTGGGGTTGCGGCGCTCATCTCGCTTTATGGGCTGAGGGAGCCGGCGTTTGTCCGCAGACAGCTTCCGGGTCATGTGGCCAGCATGACCAAGCTGCTTCTGGCGAACCAGAGCAGCGCACGAAAACACCATTTACCTTCCCGCCGGAGCGGTACCTATTTATCTACTTGCACTTTGATGTGCTTTCGAACTGCTAGGTTGGCAGGAGCTGGGACCGAGCAACGGGAGCTCACCCCGTCGCAGGCATTTGAACCGCCAACCTTCTGATCGGCAAGTCCTAGGCTCTGTGGTTTAACCCACAGTGCCACCCGCGTCCCTAACACATTTGTGTCCGGTTCCAAAATATATTTTCTCTTACACACGAAAACCATTTGTGGCTTAGCAATAGTTTGTGCAAATATACAATTAGACTCTCCTATAAATAAATTTATAAGGATATAAGTGTCAGCAGCGGATTGGGTTCTTGCTTCAGCAGTGCACAAAACCACCCAACTAGATGACAAACAGCTGTCAAACACCATTATTTCCTTTCTCTTCTTGGGCTCAGTTGCAACTAATACACATGATGTCGCGGGCCGAAAGTGCATTTGCAAGAGAGCAGAAAGGACGCCGTCACATCCTCCCCAGCCCTTGCCTTCTCTTATGGCAGAAGGGGCTTATAAATATACACACGTGTACACAGAGGTTGCACAGTCATCGCACGGGAGGTTTCCCAACTCACGCTACAATATAAAAAAAAGGAAAAGGAGTAACCCGCCTAGCTGCCTCCAACACGGCACGTAAATGGCAAACCGCATCACCTTCCTCGGAGTTAGTATCCTTCCGCAGAAAATAGTGCCTCTGCCATTCTTCAATTTCCCCTGCGAATAACAGATCGCAGTAGGGGGAGAGAACTTCTCGGAGCACTGAAAGTACGGGGGGGGGGGCTAAAAGAGGCGGAAGGGAAGAAGGGAAGGGATTTTTGCTTTCCGCCACAGCTGGGATCAGAAAATTGCAATGGGAGGAACAGCCTTGCTCCCTTCAGCAGCCAGGATCCGGAGCAGCGCAGGAAGGGAGAGTAGCAACATGTCCCTGATTTGCATTTTATTTATTTTTTTTCAAAAGCACATCTCTTATCTCCCAACGCCAACTCTGCGAGGCCAAACAAACCCAGGCGGGGGAGCCTTGGCAAGGCGTGACGCAGCAGCAGCAGCAGCAAGCAGAAACAACAAGCTCTCTTTTGCAAAACAGCCTCGGCGGCGGCAGAAAAACACCACGCCTTGAGAGCCGCCAGCCAGCCAGCCAGCGAGCTGGGCCCGCCTGGGCGAATTGGGAAAGCGGCAGGCTGGGCTGGCAGCTCCTCCCCGTTTGCAAGCCGGGAGGGGACCAGGCCTCTCCTCCTCCCCATTGGAGCTGCCTTGCCTTCCGCGATGCACATAGCAGGGGGGAGGGCGCCGGAGGAGAGGCTTGCAGGGGAGGCCAAGGAAAGGGAGCGAGGAGGGCGCTTTGCTTGCGCAGCGCTGCCTTTTCCAGATCTAGAGGAGGCGAGCAAAGATGCAAAGCCCGATCTTCCTCCTTTCTCTTTTTCTCTCTCTTCTGCGCGCTTCCCCTCCCAGCTCCCCGCCTGGCTGCGTGTCAGGGCTCTCTGCCTCCTCCTGGGCCTGCCCGGTGCCCCGCGGGGGAGGGGAACCCCTGGCTTGACCTACTTTGTCCTAAAGTGGATTTGACAGGTTGGTCGCTGGCCCAGCTCCCCCTGCCTGGTACCTCTCGCGAAGCAGCCAGCTTGCCAGCCAGCCACAGCTCTCTCGGCTTCACTCTCGGCCAACCCACGCCCTGCGTGCTTTCCCCGTTCCCAGGGAAAAGCCTCATGCCCAGGCTCCAGAAAAACGCCTTGTGGTGTCAT